ACAGGGTAGATGGAATAGAAACCCAAAAAAGTTATGTAGAGTTCTTCCTCACCCACTGTGTCTCTGCAGGGAGACCTGTTCCACTCAGTGCCTTTCTCACCAGCAGCACATGCAAAGTCTTCTGAGGTCCTCTGTAATTTGTGCCTGTCCCCTGTGAAAGCTGCCCCTTGGCCCCTGGCTGCAGGCTCAATTCCTGCGCAGGCACTGCAGGCTCCATGTGGTGCCCTGTTCCAGCCAGGCTCTCTGGGCTTCAGAAGTGTCTCTCTTTTGAGCCTTCCCTTTCAACACTCCAGAGGAGGAGTGATCTCTTCTTCCAACAACATGGCTCCAGCTGATCATATTTGTAAAATACAAAATGTATACCAGACAATGAAAAAGGCAGGAAACAAAAAAGAACTGATATGTCCCCCATTGCAACCACCTAAAATTTCTTACCTATGTAGTTGATAGTTTCATATAAGTTCGCAAAAATGCAGCTTAAAGCTCTTGAAGGGACCAGCAGTGTAAAAGAAAACCCTATATGTTTGCTAAAAAGATTTTTCTTCCAAATGAACCCAAGCATAAATTCACAGTAATCATAGTCATCATTTAAAAAGCTGTAAAATCAAGTAATCTCATCCTCCTTTTACAGCACATAGAAAGCTTTATTTTGATACACACACTAAGCTCCACTGGATAGTGATGTTACCTTTGGAGAATGTAGTATTAATTCCCCATCTGTCTGAAGATCAGAGAAAACTGGTAACAGTCCATGCTACTGAATTTACCTTAATGTTTCTAGTGTATATGTGTTTACTTTGAAGTGTTACTATTTGTGTTTATTTGTCCAACTTTCAGAGACAAAAAATCTGGATAAAGTCTAGGATAAAGGTACCTTTTATCCTAATGTAAAATGCTCTATTGACACAGCAGTGATATACTTTTAAAAAGTCTATCACCGGACAGACGGTCTCGTGTGAGAGATTTCTCAACCCATTAGGCTACTACTCAACATTCCTATTTTATTATGAGAAACAGCTCTTTCTGGCTTCTGCTTTCTCTTCATTTCAAAGAAAAATGATACTGATGATACATCAATAGGACCTAGGAGAAAAATCTCATATGATTTGTATCTTCTTCCATGCTTTTTTGAATCATACTTTCTTAAACATTTATTTTTCCCTAAATCCTTTGGGCTTCAATTCCTAGCCTTTTTCACAGTTGGCACATGAAAATCTTCTGCAGTGACAAAGCTAACATTGGTTTTGCTCTCTAAACAACTGAATGAACTGATAGTACTGTCTGTGGAAGAACAATAGTGCCCCTATTTATGAGCTGTTAATATTTGAAAGACTCATGACTTGCAGCTCAGAGATTTTACATTGATCTGAGTCAAACAGTGTGCACCTTAGTTGGATGTTTGACACCACTGGTGCCTGTGTTGTAGCTGGTGCAAAATGATTGAAATATGCATGGAAATAGGCTCAGTAGGTAGGAGGGAGTTTTTCTTTCAAGAAATATTAATCAGCAAGGAAGCCTACAGGGTTTAAATGATCTGTGAGAGGAGTCCAAGTATAGAAAAGATACAGTCTAATAGCCAGGACCTGTTGATGAAGACTGGAATAAGATTCAACTAAACTGAATCTCTGACAAAGTAAAAAGGCAGCACTTCCAGACAGATATTTCAAAGTGTTTTTATTTAAAAACTCAATAACATTTTTTATGAAAAGCAGATACTATTAATGATACTGTCGCATCTAGATAACCAATATGTCTGTTAGTAAGTATTTGAAAGGAAAGCATTCAGGTAACTATGAATGACAGTTAATAAAGTTTGTATTATTAAAAGGTAGAAAGAGACTTTCCATACAAGAGGACAGATACTGAAATTTTATTAATTTTCATTTTAGATGCATTTTAGAAAGCCTGTTTTAGATAAGAGAGTGGTTCTCAGTTCATGACAAAACAAAATACGGCTTTTGTGTTGAAACCAATAAATATTCTAGTTCTGAGATTAATTTTTTGTGATAGTAGCAACTGTCCTGCCAGGGGAGATGGGCTGGGAGCTCATGGGGGGCACTGGGCACTGGGACAAGGTGAGTAGGGCAGGGACAGTGACAGTGACTGTGAGCAGCCACATCCCAGGGCAAATCCATGGGACATTCACAGGGATGAGGACAGGACAAGGCCACCTTGGAGGATGAGTCAGTGGTTGAGGATGAACAAATGTGAACATAGACACAGACACTATGCTGTGGTCTCCAGCATAGCTCAGGCAAGTGTCAGGACATGGATATGATCTCACATGCAGCTCCTGCACAAGGGAGGGTCTGGCTAAAGCCCTGGCCAGACTTCTCACTGCTCTTCCTCACACAGATCTGATCCAAGGCTAAGCAGCTGCACTGCCTGCAGCATGGCCTTGAATACAAGCAGACAAAACTCCGGGACAGGGAGAGGGAAAATCCTTGCAGAATCAGCTGCTGCACTACAACAGACCAGTGTATTTTCATGTAGGCTATTGAGTGACCCAATAACAGTTTTATCTATTGGCACCAAATCCAAGGACTGAAATTCTCACATCCATTTCAGTGTTCTCAGCCTCTTGTTTATTGCATTGTTCACCTGTGTTTGCTTGCCTGCAGGCCTTTGCAACTCTGCTGTAGTAGAGGAATATCAATTTCAACAATTCTTTTGATGGAGATTTCCAGTGGGAATTGAGAATTTAGAAACTTGTCATGTTGTGTTTACTTTTCATAGAGGCTGATGGGTTTCCAAGAGTACAGACCAGATTGTGAGGGTTTTCTCAAACCAGGAGGCAAAAAAAAAATCATTTTAAAATCAGAATCTATTAAATGTAAAGCTCAAATAGTATTAAACACAGGAAATAATTTGCATAACATGCCCTATCTGGATATGTTGAAAATTGTTTTCACAGTGCTTCAGTTTTCTTTGTTAGAGAAAGGGAACAAAAATACCTTATATTTTCTGAAACCCATGTGTTCCCTGTGGGCCTGTATGTCTTCATGTCATCTCTATGCTAGATTTTTCTTCTTCCATTTATCGGATTCCCACTTTTCAAGTGTCTGCTATCTAAGCATACCCTTTTTAAAATTGGATGCTGAAATAAGTTTTCTAGGAGCCAGACCTCCCAGGATCCTCCAATATTTTGCAATCTGCTGGACAGACTACTGTCAATCTAATATTTAATGGAAGTCAGAATGACAATGAAAGAAGACATTGCCATGCTTTTGACATAGAATAATTTTGTCCTAAATTAAGATGAAAGTAAATGAAATTCCAAAATGTCAAGTTTAACAACAAAACTGAGCTCCTTCTTTCCAGTATGATTCGTTACAGCAGTAACCTGAAAGGCTATGATTTCCACTGCCTAATCAAGTGATTTCTGTTGTCTTTCCTTTATGATTTAAGATAATGATTTCATTACATCATTTAAATATTTCAATTCTTATTTTATACCCAAAATCTGCAGCAGAAGTCTATGTGCAAACTCTCATATTCACATAGCATTGTGCCTGCATCACTCCTCTCTGGCACTGCAGGAAGCCCAGATCAAGACCATGACATGCTGGCTTTCTGCGTTTGAATGGACAGATTGACAAACACTGCTGCAGCTTTCAAATGAAGACTTCTTTTTTTTTTTTCCTCTGCTCTGAATTTAAATTGTATTTCAAATAAACTGTGAGAAATAAATTGGTTCAGGCAAGATATTAAGATCAGAACTCTCTCCTTTTTAAATTACTTTGTCACTCACTTCAAACTTAAGCTCAAAGCGTTATGTTTCTGTCACACTTCCATTGTTTCTCAGAAAGTAGGAATGCATCTTAGTATTCAAAAATGGGAGACTGGCTTTTACTATTTGCAGTCACCCCGGAACAGTCAGGAGAACCTATGGAAAACCCATGATTTCTAGCCCTCTAAAGCTTCTTAACAATTTACCTGTTCAGTGTATTATCAAGTTAGCAATAGTTACACTTCCAAAGACAATATGTGCAGAATACTGATGAAAATTGAGGTTATTTTTTATACCTCATTCTACTTCTATTTTTGCCAATATTGTAGATTACTTTGAAATTTATTAAAACAGTGTGGCATAACAAACTGCCCAGGTAGGGGCTTTATACCTTTTTATCTTTAATGGCTTTAATGACTACCTTTAATGTCTTTGCTTGTGTCACTGAGAGACAGTTGTGAAAGAGAAATTGCAGCTTTTACTTCCTGGCAGCTAACAAAATTCAGAAAAAATAGATGCCAGTGGTATTTCTTAGTTTTTTTATGATAACAGGATTTATGACATTAGGTGGCTGTGTTTCTATATACATGCCAGTGTTGCACTTCTGTATACGTTATTCTGTCAATTCCATTCCCATAATATCTGTTTCAGTTGTCCAATCTCAGGCAACTTGACAATGAGCAGTCTAAAACATGTTAAATTCCCAGGAGTGCCATGAAAAATGTGAGCAGGTAGAGGAAAGAGACTTTTTTTAAACCTTCCCTGGGGACAGGAAAATATAGTGCAGGTTCAGCTGGTATAAAAAAACATATAGCCTGGTAGAAAAGATAAATTAGGAATAATACAACCAAGACCATATATTTCATTCACAGTATGATACCAAAAGAACCATTTCTCAGTTTAATTTCTTCCACTTCTATGAAATCTAAGGTGAAAATATGATTTTTTTGGGCAGTAAGGATATTGATGTGTCTTTTACCCTTGTCTTCCCTCACTTACGGATTCTCTGATGTCTAGCAAGGATTGAACTCCAACTACAGTCTTGGTATACTCTGGTGTAAAACGCAAGCATTCATAAGAAAAAGATGCATCAAAATTAAGTTCTATCAGTGCTTTTTCTCACAAAATTGTTTCATGCTGTACTAACCATTAAAAGACTGTTGATCAGAGAATAAGATAACTGACCCAAAGAAAATGATACATTTAACTCCTGTTCTGAAAGGTGTTTAATGAGTATTACCAGTAATTTTTGCTCATCCTTGTTTTTCAGATGAAGCAGATCGGTCACGATGGTTACAACCCCTCCTCTGTAGCTGAATGGCTGGATTCCATTGAACTGGGTGACTATACCAAATCCTTTCTAATTAATGGCTATACATCGATGGACCTTGTGAAAAAAATATGGGAGATTGAATTAATTAATGTAAGTTGACAAATTTATAGCAGTAGTTCCTCCCAAATACATTATATATTGCTTGTCTTTGTACATCAAGGAGAACGCAGAACAGCAATTTACACCACAGATAGAGTCATCAAGTGCTGTTCATGCCTGTAGCAGGGTTGATTGTATCTTTTGCTTCCATTTACTTTACCATTGTCTTTAGCATGGTATTCAATCAGCATGATTGTGTTTGCCTTCAGGAGGCTGAATTACATTTAAAAATATATTTTGGGAGTTTATCGCTACAAAGCACATGTCTTTGCTTTTAAAGTGACCAAAAACAGTGCATCCTGTAGAGATACTTGTAATTTACTTTTTCCACATGCTCCAGCTGAATTAGACATTAAATAAGGAAACCTTATAGCTAGTAAGATATTCTAAGATAACACAATTTTTTATTTAATTATCACTTTTGCTTGAAACTTCATTTACATGTCTCAGTTTAATTAATGACCACATATGGGCAACCATAAACTTTAATGTGGACTGCACTGCAGGGTAATTTGGAATGAGAGGAAGTTTGTGCTGTTATGGTGAAGTTTGTAATGTTACAGTGAAGACACTGACTACAGCTCGACCAGTGGAATTTTCATGTGAGTTACATGTCTGAAAGTGACTTGTTTTCTCTTATAAAAGACTGATGACTGTAGTTTTGCTGTGACTTCTGAAATAAATTGTAGTGTCAGTTTATATGAGCTTTTAGAGCAACCTCTACTTTGGAGAAAAGCCTGGTATCATATGTTATTGATTCTTCACAGACAAAAAGCTCTGCTCTTCCCTCAGATGTAGGAGATACTACATCTCTGCCTCTGATTAGTGCGTGAGTCCCAGAGCAGTCCAAGGGCTACCAGTAACCATAGTCAGCTGGTGTAGTTGTATGCTAGGAAACAGTTCCCACTGTGTCCCAAGCTGGAGAAATAAAAAACATAACCATGGTGCAAAGCCCTGCTGCAGCACAGTAACTGCTGCATGAGGCACAGGCAGGTGCAGCCTGGGACCAGCATCTAAACAAAAGAAAAAAAGTCATAAAAGGAGTTATTTCATATGAGTTGGAAGACAAAACCATTGAATGCTAGAATTTCTTTTCTCACTGTCACAGTTGATGTTAACTAGCACAAAAATGTAGTTTAAGGGCCAAACTCTGTCTCATTTAATGTATCTTGTAGGTACATAATTGAAGTCAGGATATGATTGATGCATTACGGATGTCTGCTGCTGAGCTAGTTGTAACTGGGATTCTCTTTTCTCTAAATGGCTGGAATTATAATAAGAACAGGGGACCCTTTGCCTCAGAAGCTGATATAGATCAACCATCACTGAGTCGAAAAAAGTAGATCATTCTGCTCTTACTGTTTTCTATAATTTTGCATCCCGTTTTGCCACAATCAATTTGAAAACAAATTACCCTTTAGCTCCCCCAAGTGGATCATTAAAATGTCATTAAAGGTTGTGGTTTGATTTCAAACTTGCATAAGCTGATGAAAAAGGGAGTATCTGCACTGAAGTTAACAGGAATAAATTTCTGTAAAGCTAGTATAAACCAAACCCTTATGTCCCTCTAACTTTAAAGCTTAACATTATGCTCCATTTGAAGGTCCATAGTTCTTGGGAAAAGACCCCCCTTTTGCCATGAGTTGCAAGAAGAAGCTGGTTAATAGTTGTATAATTACTTCCATAGATATAGAAATCTATAGAGATAAATATCTTTTTCCACCTGATATGTTTGAATTATATTGTTCAAGAGCAGAGTTAATAAAACAGTTTTGCCTTATAAGAATTACAGTTTTAGTCCTGGCATATTTGATTCCCCCCAGTTGGTAGGAGCTCAATGTAATGATATTATGTTCACTGAGAAAATCTGTAGCTTAGAAAGGTATTTACTATTACTATTTTCTTTCAATTGTGGGGAATCTTTCAGAAATGGATAAGAAATTGGTTTGAAGCATTGTGCAGTCTATCAGAACGAGATACTTAGCTCTGACCAGCAGGCTTGCTGTCTGAAATTGATTTCAAAGGTCTTACTTCTTCAGATGATGGCAAAGAAAAGCTTATGGCAGAAAGTTTTCGTGAAAGAATGTATAAAGGTCAAAGCCACTAAGTCAGGAACAGGACTCTTCACTTGAGTAGGTCAAAATCCAGGCACTTGAAAAATAAGAGAAAAAACAGACTCAGAATCCTAAAAATAATTCAGAGCACCCTTAGTTTGGTGGCTCTTGATGCTTAAGTTGTAAATTGAACTAGAAGTTTAAATTTAAGTTGTGCCTAATATGCAATAAAAATCTATCAAGGGCCACAGAAATTATAACTTCTTCATTTCAGGTTTTAATCAGTTTCAGCCACTGAATTTGACATAAAAGCTATACCTAATTTGGTTCAAGGAATCCATTTGTTCATATTTGATGATTCTTTCCATTTAGCTATTGGGATATCAACCAAGGGTCCTGAAGGAGTAGAAACAAGTCTGATGCTAGAGATAGTATCTTCCATTTGGATTCCTCTCTACAAGAAGCAGGTTGAGGTTCTGAAGTGTATCCCGAAAGTTGGGGAAGGGTGTGGAGCACACATCCTATGATGGGTGGCTGAGGGATCTGGGGTTGTTCAGCCTTGAGAAAAGGAGGCTCAGGGAGACCTTTTCACCCTACACCTACCTGAAAGGAGGCTGTAGCAAGGTCAGTCTCTTCTCCCAAGTAACAAACAAGAGTAAGAGAAAATGGCCTCAAGGCTCATATTGAATGCTAGATAAAAATTCTTCACTAAAAGGAAAGAGTTGTCAAGCATTGGAACAGGCTGCCCAGGAAAGTCACCAGGGCTGAGTCACCATCCCTGGGGATATTTCAAAAACATGTAGGTGTGGTATTTAGAGGTATGGTTTAGTGGGGCCTGACAGTATTAGGTTTATGGTGGAACTCAATGAACCTAAAGGTCTTTTAAAACTTAAATGATTCTGCAATTAAAGTTATCCTTCGTGATTTACCCTTTATTCCCATAGGACACTGGAATGATCAGAACTTTGAATCTTCTTCTCTTCCTAAAAAGAACAGTTCTTACTTTATTTCAAACACACTTTTATTATTCTTGTAAATTGTCATCTAGGTAAGCACATCTAGAACCACTGTGAGGAGAGCACCAAGCATATGAGAGGGAGAATGTCTGAGGCACTGGTGGTGCATCTTCCCTCAGCTTTTCTGGTCCCCCAGCCAGCTCTCTGGCATTAAGAAACAAATTGCTTCTTCAAATTTATTTCAAATTATTCCAGCAAGGTAATGTAATATTTGACTTACATGCTAGTTTCTTTCAAACTTTTATGTGTACATAAAGCATGTGTTTCTTCAAACGCAATCAAGCAGGAATTTCTAAAAGCATTTGAATCAGTAGAGTAATCTTAAAAGTTATTCACTTCTGTTTCTTATAAGGTCCCACTAGCATTCTAAGTCCTTCCTCAACAAGTCAGACTTTGAAATTTAGATTTTGTTTCACTAATTAATTTTTCATTTAGATCATTTAGAATTTTCCCAGATCCATTTCCTTCTGTGATATACTTTCTGGGAAGCATTGTTCTAATTTTCTTATCCTGGGATTGTAAGTATTCAGAATGCCTTCTTCTAGATTAGGCTTTACCCACACTTCTGCTTTTGTCTCCCAGTTTTCTTGGCTCATAAGTGAGATCAGATTCTGTATCAAGATTCAAATATAATTTATTTATAATTATTTCAATGGTGCAGCTATGAGGAACTTTTCAGAAATACATATCTTCTGCTGAAAAAAAAAGTCCAGTATGTTCTATAATCCCCTAACCCACCTGTGCACCTGTGCTTTGATGACTAATCATATTATTCTTGTCTGTTATTCTGGATTACTTACGTAACCCTCCCCCTGTGGGACTCACTCTCTTCAGGGAACTTTTACCATAGAGATTCTTCAGGCAAGATATAAACACCTTAAAAGCACAAAGCAGGTTATTTGTCGTGTAACACACAATATATTGTAGGACTAATGAACCAGGCATTAAATCAACCCCCACCGAATGAGTCACTCAGTATAATGGGCAAGTAGTCATCACTCAGGTAAGGGGAGAGCTGGCCTCTGGGGCTCACTGGAACAGGCTGATTTGTGGTAGTGCTGAGCTGCTATCTTCTGCTTTACCTTTCTTTTTTCTTGATAGGATTTTATACCTCTTCATGTGAGTGTTGTTCCTTGAATCCTTGAGGTGCCAGTTTTCCTGTCTCAACAATCTTACTTGTGTCTGCAACTTTACCTTTCTTATCTCGAATGCTTCCAGCCTATGCACTCCCTCACAGCTCCCTCTCACACCCTAGCAATTTTCTCAGAAGGAAACTGAGAACAGTTGCAAGCTGCGCTGTACTGAAAGTAGGTCTGGAATCACAGATAGTTGGACTCCTGGGAGGAGGGTTACATGGAAGTGGCCTGGTTTACATTTCTTCTCAATTAATTCATCTTGCACTCTGAGCTTCTTTTCTCATACATACTTCTTTCACATGAATGATTCCGTCTTTGTCTTCTGTAAAATTAATCTTTATCATATTGGCTCAGTTACTGTCCAGATTTTGAACTTTTTGAGAAGTGTCCTTGAAAATCTCTCACAAATTGCACTCCTGATTTCTCTTAGGATATAATGATTGCTGTTCAGGATCAGAGGAAAAATACTAGAGAGAGAAATTAGTTAGGACTGCCTTCCATTAGTTTACAGATAAATACTTTGGACCTTTCACAAGATGCTGGTGAGTCCCACAGTTTAATTGAAATATACTGTGTGGAAAAGTGACTCTATAGTTTTATTTAAAGTGGGTACATGATTATTGAAGCCCATGATATTTTTACTATAGGAATGAAAGAGCCTAACAGCAGCCATAGTGAAGCAAATCAGAGGGTCTACCTAACCCACTGTAATGTCTATAAAAATTACCATAAACAGAGGACAAAGGAAGGCTATGTAGCAAGTATAAAAACAAGCATATTATTAT